CCCCCCCCACGCACCCACCTTCACGGAGAAGGCGAACGCCACGAAGCCCAGGCAGCATGTGTTGAAGAAGAGGGTGTTGAACAGGGACCAGACGATGTGGTCGGGCACCACTGTGTCAGTCTGGATGTTGACCACGGTGGACATCACGGGCCCTGGGTTCTGGGGATCCCCCAGCACAGACACCTCGTGTTGCTCCCTGATCATCTCTGGTTTGGGGAGCAGGTGAAGAAGGTGGATGCTTCTGGAGGCAGAGACTTGAGTCCTGTGGCTGCAGCTGCTGGGACTGAGCAGGCCCCACCCTCCCTCCCTCCCTCCCTCCCTCCTGGGGGAGTTGTGAATTCTTTAAGTTTCTATTTCCTCCTCTTTTTAAAACGAATGGTCTGGCTGGGTAGCAGGGGGTGGGACAGGCTTCATGGTTTGCTAGGAGCGGGTGGGAGGAAATCCTGAGGTTCACCGTTGTCTACGTGCCAGTTTCCTGTCTGCGTCACTCATGCAGGTCTGGTCTCCTCGAGGACTCGGTGGGCCCTGGCGGCTTTTCCCAGCCGGCAGCCACCCATCCCCCCAGCCCAGGCCCAAGCCCGTGCGGTCTCACCCCCATGCAGGGCCCTGCCTGTGGCCCCGTGGACCCCACACTCCAGTCCCAGAGTGAGGCCGCTCCACAGCCCACCCTCGGCTGGCTCAGGCCTCTTCTCCGAAGCCCACGCTGCTGCAGGTGGGGTGGTGCCTCCTGGTTGGGCCTGGACCCAGCAGCCCCTGTTGCCTGTCTCAGGGGGCCCTGCAGGCTCTCTCGGGGGCCAGGGGTGTGGGGGGTGAACAAGGACATGGGCGCTGGATGCTGGAGGAGGTGGCTGGGGTGGGAGAGGGAGGATTGGGGCGCAGGGCAGCATTTTGAAGCAGGAATTTGGGGGGAATGAAGTATGGTAGCAATCATTTCAGATTGAAACTGTAGTTTAACTCTAACCCTGTTGTTTGGCTTAACAATAGAAAAGTTACTTTGATTTTCTGAATTGTATAAATCATCCCATTTGATTGAATGACTACCCCATTGATTGTTATCTTACTGGTTTTAGAGGGCACATTCCTCTGTACCTGGGACCCAGGACAGCACAATTATCCCAAGACCCGGGGGTTCCAGATAATGTGTTTCAGCCAACTCAGTGGTTCAGACCCGAGGGTTCTAGATAATATGTTCCTGTCAACCCAGCGGTCCCAGATGATGGGTTTCTGTCAACTCAGTGATCCGGAGACCCAAAACTGTCCTTAACATGCTTAATTCTGCTTCTGTAAACTGCCTTTTTTTGCGAACCAGGTTCCTCATTCCAAACCCTGAGATGCAATCAATACCTTTGTGATTTTTTCGTATATAAATCTGGAGTTGGGACCGGGACTATGAGATTTGGGAATGACCCCTCATAGTCCCGGATTGCAATAAATGTGACTCTTTAATTCGACTTCTTGAGGCGTCCTTCTGTGATTCGCGGGGTACGTTACAACAGGAACAGAGGCAGGCTTAGGGTTTTTTAGAATTGGGGTCCACGGAAAAGCGCGGGGCTGCAGCCTGGGAGAAGGCACACTTCCATCACCCCAGGAAGCAGGTGCAGCGACATCTCCACAAGACAAGGAAGCAGCAGCAGGGGCATTTGCATGGGACGAGGACACTGGAAGTGGCCAGAAGAGGTTTCTATTTACAAAATGAAGAAGGAAGGGAGCCTAGAGGGAAGGAGGAGGGAGAACCTCAGGTGTCGAAGGGGAATGTGGACCGATCAGGGGGGATATGAGGGCACAGGAACTGCAGCCTTTACAAACCATAGAGAACAGGGACTCCGTGGGACCCGTTCCCCCTCCCTACTTGGAAGTTCATTCTGTGGGACTCTTACCCCTCCTTACGTGGGAGTTTGCCAATAAATCTTCATCTTTGCTAGACCACTTTCTGTCCGTGGATTAATTCTTCGATTCCAGCGGACAAAGGATCCGGGTTCCAGTCCCAAAATTCGGTATCAGTGGGAGGATTGGTCCTTCCTCTCAGGGTTTCTGTCCATTGGGACTGAGCCCTCTGTCCCTCCCAGGCCACTGGCTGCCCCTAACCCT